GCGAGGCAGAAATCGGCAAGCGGCCGATCAGTTAGCTGTGCGATCTCCGTGAGCACAACGCACATGTTCAAGAATGCCGCCTCCCTGTCCATCTTGTCCGAGGCCCACGCCTCGGCAAGTTCAGGATCGTCAGCGATGTATTGCAAGTCCACTTTCTTGCGAATCGCCTTGAAGGCAAAACCTGCGGCAACCGCGATGCGGCATGGGCCTTGGGCTCTGCGGACCCCGCCCCCAGGCCGCCCGCGGCCCGAAGGGAAGACGAAGGTTCCACCGCTGAAGGACGGGGGTGGTCGACCTACCCCCCGCGGGTAAAGTTGAGGTGAGGCCCGCCGAGGGCCGACCCAAGGCGACCCGCCCCCTGGGGGGGAAGTTGAGGTGAGATCCAAGTTAGGTTGCCTAAACGCCACCTCGCACCAGAGAAAAACCTGATGCAAAAACCTGGGGAGATTTTTGCATCATGTTTAGGAGATTTTCGCATCATTGTTTTTATGAGGTTTCCCCACTCTAAATCCATGATTTCCAGGCCCCCAGGAGAACCTAACCCCTGCCTGCCCCCGCGTCGTTGAGAGGATTCCCCCCTGGAGAGCACTGATCCCTCTGTGGGTCCGTCGGAAGGGGGGGCGCCTATCAGAGGCCGCCAGTGCGGTTGCCGCAGATCACGCCTTCGGGCACATGTCACCCGCGATGGGGTCACCAGGGACTGCGGTTTCGGCGACCAGGCCGACGTTGTAGCTCCGCCGCGAATACCCACCTGGGTCCCACGCCATCGCCAACGAAGCCGCTCCTCTGAAAGCATCCTTCATCTTGTCCCTGTGCAGCTTAGCCATCGCGTAGCTGATCTTGCTGTCCAGGTCCTTCAACCCGATCACCGCTGTCACAGTCTGGTTGGACGAGCCAGCGGCCTCCCTTGCTCTGCGAATCGCTGCGACGATTGCTTGGGGGTCGAGGCGTCGACGGTGTTCCATGCACCTCAGCTCCTCCAGTCGGTCTTGCATGCCAGGGTCCTGCGTGGGGATGTGGTGGAAGAGGATGTATGCCTCCATACCGAGGGCGAGCGCCTTGCAGCAAAACGCCAGAACTGCCGCAGCACCTGGAGCAAAGCGTTGGCGGGGTTCACCAACCCGCGAAGTCAAATTCGATACCACAAACAACAACACTGACACGACAGAATGCGCATCCCCTGGGATGCGGAGATTGCTCAACTTCCCAGCGCCCGCCAAGAATCTAGCCCAGCCATCGCGCAAGCGCGGGCTAGCAACCGCCTCGCCCCAACCTTCGACTGCTCCATTGGTAAAGTCCAGCGTCAGACGGTCGGAGGTCAACCTGCCCTCGAAATGCGCCTCAGCAGTAAATGCACGTGCCGCGGGGACGCGGCGCAGTCCGTCAACCGAAATCTGTAACCACGTGCTGACGGTACTTGAAATTGGCGAGCGCCCATTGTCATCGGAACTGTGAATGAATTTGTACAGCAGCCACGGCAACATCAAGTCGGCCCTCAACGAGACGCTGGCGACGCCGCCGCTGCCGCCGAGGTCGTGCGAGCCATCATCCAGGGTGTACGCTTGGCTAAGGTGCTGGAACAACATCTTTCGTTTCTCAGACTTGTGGACATCTCCGTAGTTCTTCACGCCGAGCTCGACCAGCCAGTGGTCTTGCAGCCAGAAAAGTGAAGTCCCCAAGTCTTGGCTCGCGAGCTGGAAGACTGCGTAGCCCTCCCGCGTGAGCCCCTTGATGTTGATCGTTGCCTCCGTTGTCCTGTCCCATGTCAGGGACGTGGGCGGCCGCTGCCGCCTGCCCTCATTACCAAGGTCGCCCATCGGCGCCAGCCGACGGCATCCAGCTGGCGCAGTTGGAGGCGATGCCTCCAGCAAGCCAAACGGCTTGAGCCAAAATGGCTGCGGTCGGCGGAGGAGGAGGCAGTCTGGCGGGAGGGGGGGGTGCGGGAGGGGTGGGGAGGGTTGAGGATGGTAGGATGGGAAGCGGGAGCGATGCCCTTTGCCGTCCAGGGGGAGGGAGGCTTTGAGTACCAGAGGCCCCAATATCCAGAAGCGCCCCGACTCAAACGCTACCGACCCTCAAGGCCACGCGCGGTGTTCCGAGGGGCTCCGAGATGGCTCAAGACAGGCTTGCAATAGGTTCGAAGCAAACACCGCAACGCATGATTGCGAAACAGGCCCGAACTAGTGTTGCAACGATTGGTACCGCAGTTTGCACCTACAGACATGGTCCTAAGAAGATGTTCCAGAGCGGTGAGACCTAGATTAGATGGCTTCGAGATGCCCCCGAGAAATCATCCCGCCTCTGAGGTAAGCGTTGCTTGGGATCTGGTCCGAGACTGGTTTGCAACGATTTGTATCGCAGCTTGCACCTACAAAACTGGCCCTAAGATGTTACACCACGATGGGGGCCTCGATGACACCGTTAAGTCCTTGAGAGAGCTCCGAGAGGCATTGAGACCTCAGAGATCGTTGGAAGGTACATCTCGGCTGGCCCCTTTGTGAGCCTCCGAGGGGTGAGGACTCGCACCATATGAGCCTCCGAGGGATCATGAGGTTGCGAATCTGCGCTCGATCAAATGGAATGGTGCAGTCACAGTTGCCCTAGCACGCGCGAGCTCGGCTGCTGCCCACATGCTTACCCCAGCCCACAAGTGGAGCGCGCGCAATCTTTCATTGTTAGATTGCGAGCCCTCAGCGCCCACTGCGGTTGAGCAAAACGCAGCCGACGTTCAAACTAGAGCGACGCAAGGATGGTCAGTTAACCTCAGCATGCTGTCTCATGAATGCGATCACACGTTATCATGGCTGTTATTGTTATGTGTTCTGACCAACCAGTCTACGCCAAACAAAAACTGGGCAATGTGACTGGCGAGGTTCGCAACGGCACCTCGGACGACGGCGCACCTGCTTCAGAGGGCGCCGTCCTTACCGCCCTCACTCGCCGCATCCGTCTTGCACTTCTTCTCGGGCGGGGCACCCTCGAGAGGAGCTGGGGGCTGGCTGGGCTCAGGAGCGGGAGCCGAGGCTGCTTTCGGCGCCCCCAGCTGCGCAAGCTTCTGCAAAAGCTCAGGGGTCAGCTGCAGCTTGCCATCGGTCGTGAGCTTGAGCCCCTTGCCCTGGAACGGAACGAAGCTAGGCAGCGTCGCGTCCCCTGACGACCCTGCTGATGGGTCGGCCGCGCTGCTGGCGGCGCCATGGCCACTGGGCTCGCGCGCGGCTGCGGCCTGAGGCGAACCGTCCGCGTCGGCGAACAGCTCTGCTTCGAATTCCGCCTGAGACGTGAACTTGGGAACCTCTAGCGCCGCCGGCGCCCCCTTGCTCGTCGCTGGCTTCCCGACCTCCTTCATGTTCGGAGCAGGGGCCCGCTCCATCGGCTGGGGCGCATGCTGATGGACGCCTCCGCCCTCGATGAGCCCCCCCCTGCGCGCGACGGGCATGCGCTCGACGGGGTAGCCCAACCGCTTCGCCATGGCGTTGGTGTTGCCGAGGTCTGCGCTCAGGTCATTCAGGCGCGTCGGGTACACGCTGATGGTCCTCTCGATTTCTGCAGCGATTGCCTCCCTCATCTCTCCCTTGCTCTTCGCCGTGAAGTCCTTGATGCGCGTCTCGGGGCCCAGATTGCTCGCGATGAAGATCAGCTCGTCCACTGCGTCGTCGTCGAGGCCGCTGAGCAGTATAGGCGAGAAGCGCTTGCTGTCGTAAGACTGCAGCGCCTGCACCTTCATCCTCCGTGGGAGGACGGTGCGCGCGTTGAATTTCCAGGCCGCCCCGAGGTAGCGGTAGGACGTGGAGACCCGCTGCGACTCGTCCCCGAACAGGAGCTTGCAAGGAGACTCCCCGTCGGGGTTGGCGACGGCTGCGACCGACCTGCCCAAGACGGGCTGCGAGGCAGTCGATTCCTGCGCCGCTGGAATTGACTGCGATTGCGCTGTCGCTGGCGCAGGCTGGTTCTGCGCAGCTTGCTGCGCAGACAGTAGCAGCGCCAATTGCCCGATGTCCGCATGTGGAGGCGGCGGCGGCTGGGGCGCCTGCGCGACGCTGCCCATCTGCTGCATGGCCATGCGAAGCAAGAGGTTGGTGAGGTCTGCTTGGCCAGCCATGGTGTTGTTTGGCTGGCACGTGCAACGAAGCCGCGTATGCTTGATGAGCGAGGTTTGAGCCGAGATGCTTACGGAGAGTTGGCATTGCCGTTTAACGTGCGTGTTTGTTTGGTTTGATTCGGTGCGCTTGGGCACTCTCGGCGCCTCTCGTGCGTCGTGCGTGCTCGTCGCGTCCGAATGTTTCGGGCTGCGTTTGCGCTGCTGCTGAACGCTCGGGCACCGAATGGGGATTGAGCGGCCCCCGAGCAACCCGACACTTTAGACCAACAGGCGTTTCGACGAGGCACGGAGCGCTTCCCAACCAGCTCGAGGCCTCGATGGGGCCTCGACGGGGCACAAGCGACGCCGCCAGCGATCTCATGTAGACGCTGAGGGTCTAGCAGAGAGGAGCGCAAAGAGGAGGCCGTCGACAAATAGGAGCGAATGGCCAAGGATGTGACGAGGCGGACGGGGAGGATGACGAAGAGGAGGTAACAAGGGCGTCGACGTCGACGACGACGGCGACTCGACGATGACGACTACCGACGAAGCCAAACGACATTTCTTCGACGCGTTCGTTTCGAACTTGAGGGGCCGTCAACGTCGCGTTCGTGAAAGGGTGGGTTCGGCCGATCTTCCTTCTGTGAGTTCCTCCTCCTCCTCCTCCTCATCCCCCTCGTCATCATTTTCTCAAGGTGGCCTGCCGCCGCCTCTCCTTTCTCTCAAGTGGCTTCGGCCGCTATTGATTCTATAGCATATGCACTATCATTGCAGTTGCGATCGCAGAATGTCAAGGCGAAGCCAGCGCCGAGACGAGGCTGCACCGTTTCTGGAGGGACAATGGGGCCACGACGAGGGGGACGTAGCAGGCACCATTGGGGATCCCTGGCAACCGACGGTCTCCCAACTTCAGTTTCTCGAACGCCCAGGCTCGCCAATCGATCGGTGCCGCCTGGCGGTGCGATGCCGATGCCGACATCAAGAGAGCGAAAGCGCGGCCGAACTAGTCTACGGGCATCAAAAAAGTCGCAGGTGGCCCTGACATATCCATTCGCATCGCTGACTGCACAAGCCTCCTTCGGTGACTCTTTGCGCTTGGGAGGGCGCTCGACCACTGACAACATACAACTTCAATGGACAACTGGCACTGTGAACACTTGATTCCAAAAACGGCGGAGTGTAAACAAACCTGGCCCAAGGAGTTCCCTTTCACGAAAGCACCTGGAAACCGACGGTGGACACACGCGGGCATTGTGAGAACTCACCTGTCCGAAGGAAAAGGCTGAGCAGGGGTCGCGCCGACCCGTCGACTGAAGCTAGAGGCTCAGTCACTGTCGCTGCTGCTGCTGCCCTGCGCAGGGCCACCGCTCGAAGAAGGCTGACCACCCTCGACGCGCGGGGCTGGGACGGGCTGCGGCTCTTTCTTCGCCAGGAAGCACTGCTTGTAGCCGTAATCGACGGCGACATCCTCGATGAAGAACTCCAGGAGGTGGTTCCGCATGTGGGTCTGGCGAGGTGGATCTGAGTGGAGCACCATCTTCGACTGTTTGTGGATGGCCTCACGCAACTGTGCCCTCGTCAGGTCCTTGCCGAAATGCGAGAGCTTCGTGTCTGGGTCCAGGTTCGTGGCCAGGAAGAGAATCGCGTCCACGGCAGTCTCGGTCATGTTCTCCGTGCGGTGCATCGGGAGCACGTCTGGAGCCGCGGCCTCTAGCAGAGAGCGCCGCACTTTGAACGGCAGGGCGTTCTTGTGGAAGTAGGAGGCTCCGAGGTAGAAGTTCGACTTCGCGATGGGGACCATGTCGTCAGCGCGGAGAGGGCGCTCGCCGAACGCGTGGTGGTCGTGGGGGTGCACCTCGAATATCGGGAGCACGACGCCTTCGCCAGTTTGCCCACCTGTGAGGCCGTTGTTCTTGAACAACGTGTCAAGCGTCTGCTGGCCAACCATGTTGGCCTGACCGTTCTTCGACATGCCGTAGCCTAAACGTCCTGACCCGACGCCGCTCATGACGCCTTAGCTCGAAAACGCTTGAGCCCGTGGGATGGCTACGGATTGCAGTTGCAGGGGATGTAACAACTCTGCGTGCTGTGGTGGGCTGGCGCTGGTGATTGCAGTGATGATGAAGTTGATATTTATGTTGTGATGAGGTTGCCGTTGCATGGCGTGCGCTCGGAAACCCAACCCAGGGGGCAAGCAGGATAACTCCTGGCATCGCACTCGCGCAAGTCCCCCCTTTCATGCTCCCCCAAACTGGCGGCGAAAGACCGTTGCGTCGGAATCCCGAGAACGTTTTTTTGCATGCATCAGGGTCTTCAAACGGTTGTCTTCCAGCGAGGCGGTTCCCTCAGTGGAGATGAACCCTTGCAGGGGCCTACGAAGAGGGAGCTTGGAGGGAGGGTTTATTACAACATCGCTGATGACTCTTAGGTCTTAGGTTCACAGTTGTCCTCCTCTTCCTCCTCCTCCTAGTCGCTGTTGGTGTTTTTTTTGGGGGGGAGGGCAAGTGCTGCCCGACCTTACCTCACTTACAATCGTACGCCAGCGATTTGCGCCCTCCACCCAAGGCTTCTGGTGCAAGGGGACCGGGGGGCAACCATCATGGCCAGGCATCTTCCCCGCTACTATTGGATGGAATCCGCATCAGCAGTGAGTTGTCGACAGGGGACGTATTCTACCCGGTGGCACGTGCAGATGGGCAAGGGAGGAAGCAGTGCAGAACAAAAACCGACTGCACCATTCTGTGCTGCAGTTTGAAGTCCGGAAGGGTATGTGGGTGAGCACATCGTGCGTGGTCAGCGCTTCAATCAGCCGCAGGATAGACGAGAGGGCCACCTGAGCACTCTGCCACCAACCGTTGCGACTCCAGGGCAGGACAGCAGGCATTCGAATTTCGGCAACGCGCTGCGACTATGCACTGTGCGTGTGCTACTCTGCCCCCACCCACGTAGAATACAACGAGGAATTCGCAGGCGCCAGTAGTGACTGGATCGAACATCGGCTCGACCAGCTAAGGTGCCGAACGGCGCCAGTTTCGGGAGGGGGCATTAACAGCAACTTCGGATGGTCAAGGGACCCCGACGTGGCGATACTTACTACCAGGGGGCCGACGGTAGGAGGGGCTCGACCCAAGATAGAAAACGGAGACGAAACGATTTTCAGAACGATGTGCGGCACATGCGACATGACGAGTTTCACCACACATTCCGATACATACCGGTACGACACTTTTCATGCACACCTGGTTTATACCAGTCGTATCGGCCACATCGCAGTACCTACGGAGGCTCAGGGCCTCATGCAAAGGTGCCTTTTGTTACACCGAGTAGGGCAACAACTAAACGGCATACAACCCGGAGGGTCCAGATGCCCGTTCCCAGCCCGCGTGCGCGACCCGCAGTGCCGGAAGAACGGGCACGCACGTGCCCAGCTACTGCAGGCACTGGGCAAGGAGACGGGAAGCGCAGGAGAGTGCCTCCGACGGGACGTGGGAATTCGTGGGGGGGCGCACGACGAGCCCTCGAGAGGACCTTCGTGGAAACAGCCCAGAAGAACGTCGTGGGCTTACCATTGGACTAAGAAAAACTTTGGCGCCATGCGTTAGGGAAGACGAGAGGATCGTTAGGGTACACACCTACACCCAGACACGGACCCAACCCAGCACGAACACATCAACGCCGAACTGAAGTAAATCACGTGGGTGCTGAAGCAAGCGAGGGGCGCACTAGAGAAAGAGGGACGGTCGAAGATGGCCGATCTCATCTGGGAAGCATGCCAGAAACGCAACGTCGTTGATTTGCACCGGCCTAGGATCACCTACCAGAGACATGGCAGAGGACCTGAGAAGCGGTGCTATCTCACCCCTCGTATACATTGGCCTGCCAGTTTTTCGCAGCTACGATCGAAGCACAAAGAACCCATGAGGGGCATCCTGAGTACGCCAGGGAGAATATCGTTCCACTGCCGATAGACAGGGAGCTGATAGGACATGTGTTGGACGACCTACGATTTATGCCCATATACGGCAGAAACACCTGCGAGCGCAGAGCATGGCCACACATGCTGGACCCGACAGCTAACTTATAGGACCCCAACCAAACGCTTAAAACGAGAGACTAGAGACCAGCAGGATTACGGCAGCAGAAGGATGAGATTTTGCGGAGGACCTGGCCCACTGCACCACGCTAGGCAATATCCGACGAGGAAGGGAGCTGCTAAAGATGGTGGGGTGGGTCGGAGGCTCCAGACTGGGCAGCAACGGATGGAACGCCGACGGGGTGTGGGGGGGTCCTACGAAGGGCTAGGCGCGCGGCCCATCGCAAGGAGGGGCCGCACCTTCCAGCGCCAGCTCGCCCATCTCTTGACGCAGTGCCGCGGCCTACATGCCGCCCCCTCAGATTGGCGCCGCTCGCAGGCTTACCCGGCAGAGAACAATATTGGCACATCAGGTCAGCAAGGGGAAAAGAGGATGCTCCGTGTCTGCGACTCGTTCAGCATGGCCTGGCACGCAGGAGTGCGTCAGTAGGCTGGCCTTTTGATTCATCCACCATGTGCATCTGGAGGGCTACCGCACAGGTGCAGGGAAAGCGCTGTACTACGCTTTCAAAAAGCGCCCAGAATGGAGGGCAGCGAAGGGGGGCATCCGCGATGACTACCAGCTACGATGGGACCAACGTGTTTGCAGCCATCAGCAGAGCATTCATTCTTGAGGGCAGACGCCAACAAGCAAGAATGAGAACGTGACAAACCGACCCGCACTAACGGCAATCGGCAACTCGACTTTCACGCTCAACACCGTAGACGGCTGGAAGCCGAGAGTATAAGTGGGACACATCTGGGGCTTACTCTACGCCCGAGACAACCCGACGGCGTCCATAACCTTTTCGCAACAAAGTAGTGGCACCAAGAACGCGCAGACCCCATGAAACAACTTCGCGACGCGCGCAACCCAGCTGTCACATATACGCACGACCTCGCCCTCAACGCTTTTTGGGGCGATAGTACCCGGGCGCAAGAGATGTCGGCATGCGCGAGCGAACGGCGCCACTGCGCGGCTACCCAGCACCTTGGCCATCGGAGGATGGGGCCTAAACCGCAGCAGGTCAAACCACTTGGTTCGTCTGCTGGGCGCAGGCAGCTATGGAACCACAAGAAACATTGCAAGGCCTTCCGCGGAAAGGAGGGTATTCGGCCCATGCCCACCAGCGGGACAAGGAGTCGCAGGCGGAATCTCACGCAGGATCGCGGCCATCAGGTCGGCTTGGAGATTGTGGCGCACGTTGGGCATTGGATGCAGCAGGGCGCATTCAGCGACTGAAGTTAATGGCCTTTGTTGTGGGCGTGGCGCTCGGCGGGCTTGCGGTTTTGTTCTTGCGCAGACCCGCGCAGACGCATTCGTCAGCGCGCTAGGGAAATGCCCGCGGCCATCGGCGGTCGAGGGGGGGGGGGGCGGGTGGCGGCGCGCGATCCAGCGGCGCGCTCTAGGTAATTTAAAGCGTGGCGGTTAGAACGCACAGCATGAGCGCTGCGCGCGCGCGTTCTAAGGTAGCGCCAGATCTGGGCGCGGCGCGGCTGCGATCTTCTGGGCTTCCAAGTCAGATCAGACGCGCCCAGGGGAACTGCGAGATTGGGAGAGGGGCGTCGGGCGGGGGAACGAGCGACACCTTCGGCCAGACAGAATTTAGACGACGTCCAAGAGCTAGCCGAAGTGGGCGAGAGCATGACGCGGCGCGGAGATCGGCACTCGGAGATGTCAGTATTTCAGGCTGGCACGAAAAACACAATAACCAGCCAGCCACAGACCCGCCCGTGCAATGCAGATGCGAAGAAAGTTGGACGCGTCTACGAATAGTATCGGGGACACTGAGGAGGCACGTGATGAGGCGCTGCAATTGCCGCGCTGGTGCGACCACGCGGCTGCGGGCGAGGACGGTAGTGGAACAGTATGCGGGAAGCGCTTCGCGACGTGCGAAGCGCAGGCAGGGCGTCGCCGAGAGCTCTGCGCTGCGCGCCCGACCGTTGCCTCATTTGCAATTGCAAACCGCTGCCCGTTGCGCCGCCGTATCTCAGTGAAAAGGGAAGCTGCAAGTGGCCATGCGACGAGAGCGGTGCACTTTCGCGGTGTTTGCCATCAGGGCCGCTCCAATTAGGCGCGCGAGGTCATTGCGCCAGAGGCCCTCATCTGTTCGATCTGTGTCCGCCAGGCTCACAGCCCGGCGCCCATGCCGCAGCAGGAGCACGGAAGGCGAAGGGGACCGCGACGGTCGCCCGTGGCGAGGGGGGGGTGGTCGAGGAGGCGGGCCGCTCCTGGGGGGGGGGCGGCGGAGGAGGAACCGCGGCGTCAGCGTGCCTCGCCGCGCGCGTGCAGGCCACCTAGAAACTCATCCTCCAGAGAGCTGCAGCTTTTGGGGGCATCTACCAATTGGCGACGGGGGTCTGGCTGCTCGCCATGGAGAAATACGCGGCCACGACGGCTTTGGAAGCAGGCAGGGCGCGCGGCCGCAAGGTGAAGGAGCTTGGAAAAGGAAGCGGCCTCGCACCGCCACGCGGTCAAGGTGCATCGGCCTTCGCGGAGGGGTTCGTGGAGAGCATGAATCCACGCAGCAGGTGGGCGCAGCATGGCGGGCCATCTTCGCTGCGGAAACGTGGGCGACGACGCTCTGCGGAGT